CAGCAAGTTCAATCAACTGCCATAGTGCACCTACTCTTATCTGCGTTATCAAAATGTGAGACCACTGAACATATATCCTGTTTGGACGTTTACATTACTAACAACAATAGTTCAGCTGATGGCCTTAATATAGTAGGTACATGATTTTTTTGTGTGAGCGTAGATTTAGACACGTCTTAGTACCTGCACTCAAAGAAGTTTATATTGTCAATGCTTAGAGCCACGAGTAATAATCTATTTATCTGTTTTTAATTGTTTGAATACACTCTGTCTCTCCTGTATTGTTAGATGTATTAATGATTAAATATAAAATCAGACACACGTATTATCCCTCTGTGTCCTATAAGTCATGGCAAATGCATACACACGCCCTCCATGGCATACTTGGTATATGAATCAGACACACACAACTCCCTGAGTGTTAGATTAGGAATTAGTGTTAGATTCATAAAATGAAATATTCCCTATGTGTTGCACTCGTCACAGGAATCAGACGAACATACTCTCCACACTCTTCACCCACCTAGGCACACGTCATTTGTGTTATGGTAGTAACTGGTCAGACAGAATAACCAGTTGTTTATAACTAAACTAAGCCGCAAAAATATAGGTTGGCAATTTGTAATTTTCCTAAAAACAGCGATAACTAGTGGAAAGTGGGTATTGGGAATATGACTGCCCAGGAACAGGTACCAAAAAACACCTCACCCGAACGCGCCACCTTTGACGGCGCTCGTGCGGTGAAACAGGTTTCCCGTCTATGGCATGTTAGCTGTATAAATGCGTTCGTCCTCAGGGTATAACCACACGTGATGAAAGCACACAAAAGAAATGCCACGACTGTCACAGGAGCAGAGAGAGAGAGATAGCCATCGGTATGGCCGAAATATGCGCAACACAGGTTCAAATTGCCAGAAGGTTGACAGTAGCCAGGCTGATTCAACGGTTCAAGCAGACAGGGAGGACACAGGACAGGCCTTGAACCGGACGACCCCAAGTGACAACACTACTGGAAGACGGTCAGATGCGGCTCATTCACCTGCGAAACAGATTCGTAACGGCGACGGCGACGGCAGCAACGGCGTTGGGACATCCCATTAGCCGACGTACAGTACTACGACGACTTCGTGCTGCTGGAATCCGAGCATATCGTCCTTTCCGAGGTACTGACTGCTCAACATCGACGCCTGAGCCTGCGATCGGCGAGGCAGGTTCGACGCTGGCAAGTGACAAATTGGCGTTGTGTGCTGTTAACTGATGAAAGTCGGTTTAACTTGTTTCGGAATGACGGCAGAGAACGAGTATATCGACGCAGAGGGGAACGTTAGGCTCCGGCGTGTATTCGAGAGGTCCATCAATTCAGCGGGGGAGGTGTCATGGTGTGTGGCGGTATTTGTGGAGATCAGAAGACTGATTTGGTGATTATACAGGGAAACCCGAACGCTGTGCAGTACAGAGATCAAGTGTTGCAGCCAGTTGTGCTTCCCTTCTTACAAAACCAACAGCAGGGGACATTGTTTCAACACGACAATGCCCCATACTACAAGACTGACTCGGAACTTTTTAAACCAGCAGAACGTTGACGTTTTGCCCTGGCCTGCCCACTCACCCGATATGAATCCTATTGAACAGATGTGGGACCATCTTGACAGACAGATTAGAGCACGCCATCAGCCTCTCGTCAACAGACAAGAATTGCAGCAGGCCCTGAGAGACGAGTGGCAACGGATTCCAGTCCACGGCATCAGAAGACTGACGTCATCGATGAGGCGGCGTATCACAGCATGCACTGAGGCATCTGGAGGTCATACACGCTATTGAAGGCAACTGTGTCGACAATGGACGTGTAGTGTGTCTGACAATATGTTGGTGACATTTCAGACAACTTTTGAAAATGAAATTTCTTACCCCACCATTGTTTACCTTGTGCTTTCATTACCTGTGATTGCACAATTTCATTCAAACTGTGGTTGATCAATCATCTGTTACCCCTCCCTAGATCATATTATATTTCCAAACAAAACCTCTTCTTGTTATTTTTTTATCGATCATGGAACTCGAACTATACTTTCTTTTGCCGCCCAGTTTAGATATGGAAGGCAAACAGAGGATGTTTGGTGAACCCAAACTAACTAGCATGGGAAATTAAAAAAAGAAGTAGATATTATCACCATTGAGGCAATGTCCATACTGTCTTATATATGAAAATATACGGTTCTGTCGGTTGTCATAGTTATGTTCCGTAGTATGGTCTAGTATGGTCTACAGAAGCTCAAGAACAACGTGTAAACTGGACAAACAACAAAGACCACCATGAAACTCCTGTAGATTGCATATTGTTCGTGCTGTTCCACGTACGGTAAGATGCTCCATGTGTGGCATTGTGTGACCATAAAATCTTTTTGGATCAACAATCTTTAATCAGTTAATTCAGAAGTGCAAGGGCGTGAGGAACGTGGGTCATTTAACGTGTATATACTATCTTTTTTATTTGAAACGTTATAATAGTGGAGTCAGACTACTTAGTGAATTGCTTGATAAGCATTGGTACCTCGATCTCAACATGGCAGTGCAGCCAACTAAGATATAAGAGTGAATTAGTGATCAATTAATTTTTTACATCACATCCATATTGCATCCATATCGCGATGAGAACAAGTTAATTACTTATTAAATGTCGACAAAGGACAGTAAAACAGTGAGGTAAGTAACATAGTTTAGCTATAACAGAAATCTGATCAATAAATGAAAACAATGATTTTTCATTGGATTATTCACTATAAATTAAAGCTAGCTTACAGACCACAATCAACCAAAGCTGGGCCACCTCACTGGGGACAAAGATATAATAGGATGTTTGAACCCTGAAAACATGTTTACACATAAAACCCTGCAATAATAAACACACAGAGAGGAAAGCAGAGCATATATATGCACAATATTTTGATGGAAAATGTGTCTGATACGATTGAAAACCAGATCTATTTTCTTACAAAAACCATATAAAAATCAAATGAGGTGATTTCGCATGTACATTGTATTTGTGTTTGTTATTGTATAAGAGAAGCATACGTCATATGGAAAATGATCAGAGATGACAGCATTTACGTTTTATCACCAGGTAAAGTTGATCAAACACTGTACTTGTAAGCATATATGTATATATATATATATATTTATATATATATATATGAACATTATTACATAAGTGTGTACATATACTTACCACATCGATACAATTGCATGGATCGATGCTCATGATGTCAATCACTGGATTGTCTGGTCGAGACTCGATTATTTGCAGACCGCCGTCATAGAGCTGGAATATTGCTGAGTGCGGTATTAAACAACAAACAAACAAACATATACCTACTCGGTGTTCTCCCCATGAAGGGGTCAAGAAGAAGCTCAGAACCAATATCAAAAACGATAAAGACGTTGTAAAACGTACCATGTCTTCACACATCTTTACCCATACAGCAAATATAAGTTTGAAATCGACATTCTTTGAGTGGCTATCAGGTTCATGTTAAGGCATTATATTTCGCCAACACTTTGCTGTCATACAGTTAACAAATATATCATAGGAAGGGCATGACATGTGTAATATATTGCTAGTATATCAGATAAAAACCGATGGATATATCATCATTTTCAGATATAACACAATATGTGTATGAAGATATATATGCGCATAAAATCAAACGACAACTCACATAGGCAACTTGGCTGATCTATTCATCATACGATCCTCATTTAACGCCTTCACATTGTTTTATAATGCATATGTACAAAGTGAAATAGGGATGACATCAATATTGATAAAAGTAAAAGTTTTGTGTTTTTTGTGTGAAACAGGAGTTTGAATATCAAGATAGGAAAATAGCTTAATAACCGTAAAAAACTGTAAATATATAGTACTCGTGGATACGGGCACATTGGTCTGGGCAGTATCTTGTACAACCCTACGTGAGCAAAACAGGAAAACACCATGGACAGGCACATTGTTGATATCTGCTTTCTCAATTTCTGATTTATTCTTTATATCTGACAAAGAGACTAAGCTAATCTTTGTGAATGTTTGTGGGCTTCCAACAAAGGGAAGTCATTGCTCATGTAAACTGCAATTTATATATATTTGTATATGGGGTACATGGCAGCCGATATGTCATGGTTCACTTGCATTCTATTTACCACATCTCATGTGTGCATATCGATGAGAATACTACACATCTACCCATACCCGAATCAGTGCTACAGAATGCTATAGTTAAATGATGATGGAACAAGACCCAGTTTGGCAGCTGTCATGTTGTATTTAAATGGACTCAACATCATGTACCTTCGTCTTTTTCTACAGATGACAACTGCTGCAACTACGACAAGAATTGTTGTCACTGTCACGGCAGGTGAAAATACTTAGTCACCCATTACTGGGTTGTTTTGCTGAGGTAAAGACGTTCGAAAAGAAGTTATACTTCAGCGAATGATAGACTGTGCTAACACAAGTTAGAATATGATCGCTTGTGCAGATACTATTAATTCCTTTTGATTGAAGAATGGCAATATCTATCACATCAATCATATCACTCATATCACTGGTGCATGTCTGATATTCAATCTCTTTGATGACGGTTGCAGCATATATTCCGTTCTTGAAGGCTCATTCCGAACAATCTGACGCATGGTAATCGTCTTATTTAGAATGTGTATTCAAAGTAAAGGTTTCGGAGATATTTTGTGGAAATTGTTATGACGTGGCATTCAGCCAAATATGTTCAGATGGTTGAAAGGGCGAAATTAAGGTTTGCGTTACAGATTCGGTGTAATATCCATTATATGGTTGTTTCTGGTACCGAAAACATAATTTTTAACCAGAATAACTAAACCACGTTAATAAGACCCTATACTTAAAGGCACCTTTAATTTTTGTTTTCCTAGAGTACACACTACTATTATGGCGTCATAAAGGTGTGAAGTCTAAGCATTGACAGAGCACAGCGTTTTGATTCCGTTTATTGAGGGAGCGCAAGTGATCTTATAATTACAATATAATAGCAGTGATGTTATACTATTCTTAAAAGCAATAAATCAAGTAAATGTTAAAGTTATCTATGTCAAGTACTACAACCTGTGAGTGATATATTTTTTGGAATTTGAGTAAATAATTCTAGACTTACTACAGTCGTCACGTGTTTTCTTATTAACATAGTTTATACACATAACTCATTTTCATGAAACATTGTGTGACATTAAAACCATAACAAACATGTGACTATCATAGTCATACAATGTTGATGACACTAAAGTCTCCTAGTGCATACAGAGGCTACAGATGCAATGACCCATCACATATGATACTACTGGTATACACAACATGCCCTATTAACTTACTTGGTGCGTTATCATATACAATATAACTTGACAATAAAATACAACAACCAAAACACAAATAAACAAAACGAATACACAAATATGTTCGTAGAGCTTCAGCGTCAAAGGGAGATAATAATAGACAATTCTAAAGCGCCACTAGTAACAAAGGGTGATAACTCAATATGCACTTTACAACTTATCAACATAGCTTACCTTGTTATGAAGGAAGATAATTTATAATAAATGACTTTCGATGAAATACGAATGGTTTAAGTACGACGAAGACTATTTTCGTGTCAGCGAGGCACGTGAACATTGACATGCCTGATTAAGAATGTACCATTGTTATTTTGTTTATAGCACTTGTTTATATAACATCATTATAATAATACATAATCACAATCTATCAAGTGAATCGTCTATTACAGATATTTTCAAATGGATAGACCGTCGCTGATTACTTTGGTCAGTTCACTAACACAAAACATACACATTGATAGTGTGACATGCCGAAACACAGTTTTCTACGATGTATATACATATATTTAATCGCAATCCATATATATATATATACATACAAGTTAACAGATCAAGTAAATTTGTCATGTCCATGTATTTCAGTTCACCGACCACATACAAAGGTGGTGACACCATTATTACACATGCATACACAGAGAAAACTATAATTATAAGGTAAACACCAGCTATAGCTTAAATATAGAAACATATATACATTTATGTTGTCTTTTTGTATGAGTATAATTGTAAAACTATTTACAGTTCACAGCAGGGGACATTGGGTTACAGCAAAGTGTTTTGTTCTGACTGACCGGCAATGTTGAATCATGTGATCTGTTTGAAACAAAACCATGCACGTATGAACATACGTTGTTTAATCAAGTATCCTGTTACAAATCAGTGTTGAATTGAAACAATTAATACAAATGCGTACATCGTTGAAGTTGAACAAAACCTTACTCCAAATGAACTTACATAATTCACATTGTAACTGTGCCACGTGGTCACTGAGTGTGTGAGGTCGGTGGGAGGATCAATAGACACCTAACGCTACAGAAATACGTAAATTAAGAATTTATTTATTACAATTTTAAACCCACAAAAATAGAAATATATCTTACAGTTAAAGGTCACCTTTCTGGACTATAGGTACAAGTACCAATATATAATTCTATTTAAACCGTAAGTTTGTCACTAGAAAGTCACTTAACTTTCCCGATCTCACTGTATTCACCATCCGTTCCACGTGACGTGTTGTCAAGAGTTTCGTACGTCCGCGCTCCATTAGAGTCGGACACGTCACATGACGTCAGAGCAGTGGCACCAGTTCCTAAATCTGTTTTGCCAGATGTAATGGTGCAATATGTATCTCCTTCAATCTTGGCGTCATATGAGACGGCATTGAGACTGTCGTATGTCCTAGTACCTGGGCCAACGTCATCACTGGCCTGCGATCGTTCAGTTTGAGCGTTTGATACATTGGTTGGGTGCGATGGCTTGTCTAAGCATCTGGAATGTGAGGGCATTCAAAACTTGGTGTAAACAAGTACATGAAAGACATAGAAGCATTATCCAATATGACGTCATGTTCATGTCAGGTATAATCCTATCTTCGGACGAATTACGTTTTTTGTGTTTTTACAATATTTATCTTTGAAATATATATTTTGATCAGAGTGACCATTAACCTTTTCCTTCTCCTCCAGACAACAACAGTGACGATGCCACCTAATACAGCACCAGCCACGAATGCCACTGCTACGGCAACTGCTACGGCAACTGCCAACTGGGTAGCGTTACTTCCGGCTGGTTGTACACTTCTCACGTCTTCTGAATATATGAAAGACAAGATCAATCAATGAGTAAAGGTAAATATGTTTGATTTTATTTAAAATGAATTTTTAGCAAAACATGGAGTATAAGCATTGTCATCAAGTACAACTTGGTCCTGTGTCTAAAAAAAACCTGCATGTGATTCGCGGCATTTCAGATTATTTTGTTGTTATGAACAGCTCGCTTGCATCGATTAATAAACATAGATTAATGTGTAAGTAATGGATATGAACCAATCGCTATAATTCAGTAGACATGACTGTTTGTATTTTGTTCAATACAGCCATTGTGTTGTTCAGTACCACCACATGTAACTTCGTTATTTCATTTTATTATCTTCTTTGGACATGTACAAACTTATGTCAGCAAACAGTTGAGATGTTAAATTTCCTATCATATGCTATGAATGATTAAATGAAGCCAGTCCAAACAGTTTCTGGTTTTAAAGTGCTAGCCCACTGCGATAGCATGTCTTTTGCTATTGACTGTAAACGTGTAGCGCATCGATTACATTAGCTTTCAACTCCCACTGCTCTTCACACTTCAATTCCAACGCTTGATGTTGCAAATCTTTGTTTAACAGATATTCAGTACCGTTTTAACACATCATACCTTGCTATATTACCGTCCAGCCACTGCCAACTCTCTTCTCACTGCCTACCTGTTGACATAACATGGTTACCTGTACAGTCCGCTTGTGTCCACCCTGTTTCACATCCCCTGTCACAGTCCCCTGTTGAGCCACAGGAAGAGTTCCCCACACAGTGTCTGGAGGCACAGGTCTTGTCACAGTTAACTCCATAATGATTAATATCACAGGCTGGAAAATTTTCGAATAAGCTTTATACTGTGGTATCCGTGAACCAAACGTAGGAAACACGACTGAATTTATGTCAATGTTTATCTTTTTACCCAAACTCTGATCTTAGCCAGTTTTTGACATGTACAAAAAGTACTCTCCCCAATTTGGTATTTTATGTCTGGAATTCTATGGTTAAATAGTATCATATCATAAAGGAGAGTCACTTTCAGCAATTGGGTACAGTTTTATACACATTTCAATGTTTAATGTAAACTACGGTTATCACCCTCTCTGCAGTCTTCACCCATCCACCCTGGCTCACACCCGGAAACACATGTCCCTTGTACGTGATCACATGGCGAGTCTCCAGCACACTTTCTATCAGAACAATATTTGCTGCAGTTTTGTCCATAACTTCCACTTGGGCATGCTGTGGAGAAATCAAATGTTCATAAGTATATTACAAAGCATCTATTACTGCGAAGTGTTATGTTTATTACTAGTCTTTATTAGAAAATCTTAAATGTTATTTATCTCTGGTATAAACATAAATGTTGTTTGTGCCATCGCCAGGTATCAGGTAAAACAGGATAGCATCAGCGGTATTGTGTTCTAAACAGTTATTGTTTAAATGTTTGAACAAGACGTATCCCATTGCTCTCAAACGAAATGACGAAAACCATAAGCAGATAACAGAATATCATACAATTGTTGAATACAATATAACACAGTGTTTAATCATAGTTGCCATGAACACATTAACACATTACAAAAGATCTATATATATATGTTTATTGTTTCAAGACAACAGGATCGGTCTCCAAGCCACAATGTATCATTCAGAATGGATCTCAGATTTTCTACATTTTTTAAACAAATGTTTGGCAGTCAAATATTACATACCTTGACATATGCATTTTGATTCCAGAGGAACGAGTAATGCCAACACAGCAGTAATTTATACTGTTGATTTAAGGACAGAGCAAATACTGTCAACCCTTTGTTCTAAAAAAACTATTAAAAACCTTTACCCCTTCACCTCTATGTTCTGTATTTGCGATGCGTTTTATGTAAAAAAACAGGTTCTCGTGCTAAATGTGTCTCTTACCGACCAAATGTAACTCAAACGCAAGACTTCCGATTTTGTCCAAATATTTGTCATGTATGTAGACTTTAAATTACATGTTCAAAGGTCTTAGGAAATAATTGATTTAATATGACATAACACCATATTGCACCTCAATAGTCAATAGCTGAAAAACAGTGCAGATGTTATTTCTTTACTACTCTCCCCAATCTGGTCTTTTAAAGTCTGGAATACTATCACTAAATAATAACACTCAAGGAGAGTCACTACGTTCAGCAATTGGGTACAATTTCGATACATATTTCAATGTTTTGCTGCGTTCAATTTATAATGTAAACTACGGTTATCACCTTCTCTGCAGTCTTCACTCATCCACCCTGGCTCACACCCGGAAACACATGTTCCTCTTATGTGATCACATGGTGAGTCTCCTGCACACTTCCTGTCTGTGCAATACTTTCCGCAGTTCTGTCCATAACTTCTATTTGAGCATGCTGTGAAATCATAATGCCATAAGAATATTACAAAACGTCTATTGCTAATTAGTGTTATGATTATAACTAGCCTTGATTAAGAAAACCCACTTAAATGTTATTTAACTCTGGTATAAACATAAATGTAGTTTTTACCATGTGCCAGATAAAATAGGATAGCATCAGTGGTAATGTTTTCTAAATGGTTTCAATGTATGATCAAGCCGTTTTCCATTGCTCTCAAACGAAACCAAAGTAGGCAACATCACATCTTACTCTGGTTAAAAAATATATAATAGTGTTTGAACATAGTTGTCATGAACATAATACAAATTTAACAAGGTATATCAATAAGTTCCGTTTTGGAAGCAAAACGGATGAAACCCTATTGAATTTGCTCTGATTATACGTCAGTCTCTAAGCCAGAATGTATCATTCAGAATGTATCTTAGATGTTTTACATTTTTTGTTCTTTGACCAAATGTTTCGTAACCTCGATATTATTTAATTGAGATACATTTTATGTTAAAAACAGGTTCTCGGGGTTATATTTGCCTTTTACCGACCAAACTTAACTCAAGAGCCTGAACTCTGATTTTGTCCAAATGTTTGTCATGTATGTAGGTTTTCAAATACAGATTCAAAGGTTTCAGGGAATGTTCAGTTTGATATAACATAACAACAAATTGCGACTTAACCGTCAATAACTGTGCAAATGTCATAGGTCACATGTTTTGGTAACGTCTTGGTTTATATTCATTTCTAATTGGATAGCAAAAGAAGTGACAGAACAATATGTTAAAAAATCTCAGTTTACTGCCTTTGCAGTCAACGTGGGAACTGGCCTATCAAAGCCAAAATGTCACAGGCTGGAACATAATCGCATTAGCTTTACACTACCGTATGCCGTAAACGTACCTGTATTTCGATGCATAAAATAATTAAATGTTTTGCTGCGTTCAATTTATAATGTAAACTTCGGTTATCACCTTCTCTGCAGTCTTTACCCATCCACCCTGGCTCACACCCGGAAACACATGTCCCCCGTACGTGATCACATGGTGAGTCTCCTGCACACTTCCTGTCTGTGCAATACTTTCCGCAGTTCTGTCCATAAATTCCATTTGAGCATGCTGTGAAATCATAATGTCATAAGAATATTACAAAACGTCTATTGCTAATTAGTGTTATGATTATAACTAGCCTTAATTTTAATAACACTGAAATGTTATTTAATTCTGGTATAAACATAAATGTTGTTTGTGCCGTCGCCAAGGACTAAATAAAACAGGAGAGTGTCAGTGGTGGAGTCGATTGTACGATTCCAACTATATTATGAGTAAGTGTTCAACTGTACAAACTCCAGTGCTAGCGCTCTTCTCCTAAGTATGAATGGTCAATATTCCTTTATTGGAGTTTGGGTCAAAATCACTCCGTTCCTGATTTTAACAAGAGGAAATTTTGTAAATTTAATGTGCATTGAGACCTTCATTAAGTTTGACAAAACGAATGCATTTGGTTATGTGATTTTTTAACCGTTTCAACTACCTTTGTCCTTTAAAGATCTTCTTCATAACCTCTGGTCACATCAGGTTATGATTGTGTAGGTGTAAAATTTTATCATACTTATTTATTAATCCCATTAATTGTTTGGAGGCCATATTTGATTAAAATTTCTATCGCCCCGCTTATATCCATCCATTTACCCCTTGGTTATTTTTACCCTTGGCATCAATACCCCGAGTGGTAAATTTGCCCTACCTCCGGTGGTAGAACAAATCTGTTTACCCCACGGGTAACTTTACCCTGAGGGGTTATTATATGCATATAAACGCATTCCGTCATTTGCCCTACCAGATTCAATGTCTTGCAACACCCCTATATATTAACAATGGACCAGCTCACAGGGAATTTCCTGAAAATGTATAAATAGATATTATGCAATCCCTATAGAGGAGTTTTAGAAGTCAAAACCAACAACATTATCCTGCTAAATTGAAAAATGCCGTCGAAATCTGAACGTGCTCCAGGTAATGCATGATCTGAAAAGGGACCAAGTGTATGCTAAACATTTGGATGGAATTACATATACATGCCCAGCTTCGCGATGAAAGTGCTCCAGATTGAGCCGTTTATCATATAATGGGTAGGTTTCTCGGCAGGATAAAGCCAACGGATTAAAACGATATCCATTGGGGTCATATGCGGATAGAGATGCAATTATTAAAGGAAAGTCAAGGGACTACTTTCACTGTTTATAAACAAACATTGCGTCGCTCTTGTTATTCGCCGATAGAGACAGAGTCGAGAGAAATTACTTGGATAATTGCTATCATTATGAACCGAATAGTCTAATATACTGAAAATCAGTGTCTAACTGTGATGTAGCTAAGGCATTTTAAAAGTTTTGGCAACTTTGGAGATAGAAATTGTGAAACAATTCAGCAAGGGCACTAGCCAAGCGGGATCACGTTCCATATCTGTGCTTGTAGACTTCTGCAGCTTGGAACCCTTTCCACAAATTAAAACAGTTGGATTTGGCCGAAATATGTTCGAATTGTTACATTGTTTCGTTTTGTCGCTGTGTGTACATCTGACTGCATTTCGTAACGTAATGACAAGTCATTGACTGTGTTAGAGTAGCTTCCCTTTGATAAAGGACAGTTACTCTATAAGACATACCGATGGATTGCCGTGAAAGGCAAGAAAAAACAATTTGTGTAGGCAATTGTTGTATTGCATGTAGGTAGTTACGCCACTGTATAAGAAACAGGTTTCTGTTGGAACTACATTGGTTACTGTCACTGACCGACTGACATAGCACTTACCATCTGCCGTAATATATATTAATGCGCATATTCCAGGAAAAAATGCAATGTTTAGGTTATGTTTAAGGGAGATGGAAAGAGATTTTCGAGGACAGAATTAAAGAATGACAATATATGATAAAGAGGTTATCACGCTTGTGTGTTTGGGGATGGTAAATATCCTGTATTAGGAGTAAACACTTTGTATTTAACAAGCCAAGGCTTGCTAAATACAATGTTTATTTCTAACACACCAAACACACTTGCGTGATAACCTCTATTTACAGTTCGGGGCCTACCTTATATTTGAAATCTTTGAGGCGAGGAAGCCGGTGGGGGGAGGGACGTTGTTTCGGAGACTAGACTTTTTAAACAAAACAACTTTTTATATGTCTAAAATTATCCAGACCGCGTGGTATGTTGCACATAATACATCACTGGTTTGTCTTATTAAGACGACTCGACTATTTACAGGTAGAATATCGTTACGTGTGTCACTAAACATGTTCAAGATCAAAATTGGTTGCAGTATGAAAAAGTTCCATATGACGTTCTGTGTCATATCTATTCGACCCGATATTATCAGGGTCTGGAAAAGGTTATAATATTTCATATATACTGATAAGTACAATAAATGTAGCTGATGTGCTTTTAATAGTTCCAACCTGGTTCCAACATGAGTCACACTTGTATGATCACATGCTTTTAAGATTAATATATAGACCTGTTGGGTGTTGGCCTGTAAAAAATGAAAATATTAATTCCGATGCTTACCTTGTCTACAATCTTCACCCATCCACCCTGCCTCACACCCGGAAATACAAGTCCCTCTTACGTGATCACATGGCGAGTCTTCGGCACATCTTCTTTCAATGCAAGTGTTGTTGCAGTTCTGCCCGTAGCTGCCATTTGAACACACTGTGGACAAATTATGATGTAGAATTTAGACACAAATATCTTAAAAGAGTATTAAATGCAAATATCCAAAGGAACATTACCGCATAATGGAGAGAGAATAAACCATTTGCTGTTTGGGACCCAAGGTTACTCCAGGACGGAAAGATTCATTGTCATGTTGCCATTACTTAGCTTTAATGTTGCTGACTAATATAACAAACCATCAATCACATTTTGTTGATATAAGTAATTGCGTAATGATGTGACAATAGCCCAGGACTGCTAATCCCAAGGGATCAAGGAATCAACGTTCTGGGCAAGGAAGAACTGCTCTTGTGCACAGTGTCCAACTTTGTCTGCCACCAAAAAGTAACATTTCGAGTTGCATCACGTCACAGCAGAGCACGTTGGAAAATACACTGCTGATAATAATAGGTGAACAGATGGGGTGTCCATCTAAAAATGATTCAGATATGATCTACATAGCAATGTTTCTACTGGTATTCGTTGAAAGTACCAAGCCGGTAGAAAGATTAATACGAAAACCGCAAGGGTATACTACACAGGTATACGTTTGAACGTCACACTTAGAGTGCAACTTAGTATACAGAATTACCTACATTACATTTCCACGTTTCTTTCTCCTACATAATTGCACATGACAAAATATATGCCCATGTAAATTGGTTTCAGGATACAGTGATGCATAGGATACGGTCTGTTGGATCAACTTCACCTCTACGCTCCAGTCTGGCAGCCAGTCTACAGTCACAAAATGCCGACTTCTTACACCATTCTCCTTCCTCCCCTGGTCTCCAGTTTCCAGGACACACACCACTGACTGAATCACCTCACCTGTATCACACCTGTCTCCCTGCCACCCTGGTCTACAGTCTCCCGAACACACACCACTGACGGAATCTTTTACCTGTATCACACCTGTCACCCCGCCACCCTGGTCTACCATCTCCAGAACACACACCTTTGACTGAATCTCCTCACCTGTATCACACCTGTCTCCCTGCCACCCTGGTCTACAGTCTCCCGAACACACACCACTGACTGAATCTTTTACCTGTATCACACCTGTCACCCCGCCACCCTGGTCTACCATCTCCAGAACACACACCTTTGACTGAATCTCCTCACCTGTATCACACCTGTCTCCCTGCCACCCTGGTCTACAGTCTCCCGAACACACACCACTGACTGAATCTTTTACCTGTATCACACCTGTCACCCCGCCACCCTGGTCTACCATCTCCAGAACACACACCTTTGACTGAATCTCCTCACCTGTATCACACCTGTCTCCCTGCCACCCTGGTCTACAGTCTCCCGAACACACACCACTGACTGAATCTTTTACCTGTATCACACCTGTCACCCCGCCACCCTGGTCTACCATCTCCAGAACACACACCTTTGACTGAATCTCCTCACCTGTATCACACCTGTCTCCCTGCCACCCTGGTCTACAGTCTCCAGGACACACACCACTAACTGGGTCACATGCTGCTTGGAAGCAATGGCAGAACTGATTGCAGCTATCACCAAAGAGTCCTGGACTGCAAACTTAAAATAGGATGATATTTTACATCCTTGTTCCCAAAGGCTTTCAAGTGCAAATGTGTCCCAGATATGAACATTTTAATAGCATTCCAACCTCCATTGTTGCTCTCAGTGTCACGTCATATTCTCTGGTATTTGAATATAAGAACACACTGTACGTTTTCCTTATCAGTATTAATAATTGTATCGATTAGTTTAACTGTACCTGATATCTATTATTACCTTAAATAAGAAATGTATCAACAAAAAGATATTTAATTATTGTGATGTCTTTACTATTTTATTTTACAGCTGGCTTCGTTTAAATGTAGCAGGATTTGTTACTGTACATTTTACACTAACTTTCTACATACATAAAGAATGTAGGCCATCTGCCCATGTTTACTAAGTAGTGTTTTGGTAAGCAACATAATATGCAGCGTATCGATATTTCTAAATTTTTCATAAATAACAATATAAACAAACATTGTTAACTTTAGGTGCATTCACACTGTACAACTGGTTGTATACAATTTGTTGTATGCAAGTAGTTGTTCGAACTGAATACCCACAGCATCGAGTTGCATCCATCACTGATCACTACCGGAATCCTGGTTGCTGTGCGATTTTAATATTGAGTTGTATATTCTTGAATCTACTAACCCGTGGTAAACAATGAAAGAATGGTTTGAAAAGCGAAAAATGTTGTCCAAGTCTCTGTTCTTCTTATAAAAAGGATTCTAAAATGTGGCGACTTTTTATCGTACATAGATAAAGTACAGTGGGACGAATTGTTTGATTTGACAGCTTTAAGCGAACAATATACTGACTTTTGTCAGAAAAACATAATGGCGCACATATATTAGATTTGTACGGTTATGTATAATGTGACACATTCAATACAAAAAACATACTCATTTTATGTAACTAAATTATATTTTCCGCTAAGACATCAAAACACGAGGGAGAAGTCTACATGTACAAAGGAAAACGACTTGACTCTGCTATGATTAACTGTGAGACACTGTAACTCCTTATCCGTCATGTCCGTGGTGAACGTTTGCTTTGGCCCACGACATTACATTCTACTATATTTTGTTCATGTGTACCCAAAATGATCCCACACAGCTATTGATTTAGAAACAAATTGTCATCTAAAATGTCCTGAAAACATATTTCAAATTTGGTAATAATACAGAAGAATGTATACTTAGACATTGCGACTGTTTAGTACACATAATTTACGTCATTGACTATATGGCTTCAGTTTAAAGGTAAAACACAGGCACAGTTATCTCCTATCAGCAATTATCCTTACCATAAATCTCCACCTCACACAGGATTAGTCCTGTGCTGTGTGTGATGGTGAAGTATCTCCCTGTGCCGTCACACGTCACGTCGTACACGCTGTTGTTTGTTTTAGCTGTGTCAGAGGGGAAGGTGTAGCAGGTGACGCCGGGTGTGGAGCTGCTGGAGTTATTCAGAGTGAGGACAGCAGTCCTGATCAAATCCGGATCTAAATCATGCAATGAAAGAAATGATTTACTGACGCACGGTGCAATGTGCTCTTGAACAATAACAAATAGCTAATCATATGGCACTTGATATGATTCAGTTCACCTATCATCTTGTTGCTGGAACGTGTGAACGTCAAATAACACCATGTCACCACATTTAGTTGAAATATGACAGAAACACGTTGTTCCTGATCGGCGTGTACTAAAATGTTTTGTTATATCCTTCAAAATCAACGCTGCCTGAACTGATACATACATCCTGCCCTGTTGTATATCCTGACGTCGTGTATCCTGTACGGCTGTCCCAGGTCCACTGCCCACTGTCCAATGGCCTTAGAATGAGAGTGATAACAGGAGCCGTGAAGCACATCCTGGTCCTGGTTCCCATCTACGGCTTTGTCTGCGGTCCAGCCTTTATGTCCATGGTCAGTTGGGGGCGAAGATGCTGTCTTGTTGAAGGCAACGTTCTCTTGTACCAACAAGTACGAAGATAAATTAACTTTAACATTGCAATTTGTATGCGAAAACGTTTCTTTTTAAATCCTAGGAAATTGATCTTGGTATATCCAACAGATAAGTGATATCTGCAAAAGTAATAAGGGGTTACTGTTACAGATATGCGGAAATTGTGAATGATTGAAGGATATATCCCAAAGGATACGCACTTCAGTTAAAATATCAAATATCTAATTTCAAACATCATGTGATCAGTGGCGTTATGGTGTCAGCATCCGCGAAGCTTTAAAATAGATATGACTAGTGGTAGACTCTGATAGGTCTAATATACAAACTACAGATGAGGTGAATGTGGCGTCATCTGTTTGGATGAAAACATTGGATGCAAGGCTTTGAAACATTTTCGATTTTTTACAGCATTTTGTTACGAGGTGATTCCCTATGTTGTAACACCAAGGTTAACCCAGAAATCGGTTCTTGCAGACCTAAATTGCGATAGCAGTAATTAACCACACAAGGTCATTAAAAAGTTACGGTTGAGTCCCGTCCGGGACTCGAACCCACACCTGCCAGGGTGAGGCACCTAATCGCCAACACACAAAGTCAGCGATCTAACACACTCAGCCACCGAGACTTCCACAAAAATGAAAGCCCGACAACTGGTAGTCTAGATCACGTACTTTGAGTACCCCCTTGACAAGAGTAAATTGGCACGGCTCCCATGGCCGAAAGCTATGAATACACAATGCCATTTAGAAAGTGGTCAAATGTAACTAATGTTATATATTTGGGATAACACTTTCTTAGTAAAGTACAGATTCTAGTACTTTTTTGGGTTGAGTCCCGTCCGGGACTCGAACCCACACCTGCCAGGGTGAGGCACCTAATCGCCAACACACAAAGTCAGCGATCTAACACACTCAGCCACCGAGACTTCCACAAAAATGAAAGCCCGACAACTGGTAGTCTAGATCACGTACTTTGAGTACCCCCCTGACAAGTGTAAATTGGCACGGCTCCCATGGCCGAAAGCTATGAATACACAATGCCATTTAGAAAGTGGTCAAATGTAACTAATGTTATATATTTGGGATAACACTTTCTTAGTAAAGTACAGATTCTAGTACTTTTTGGGGTTGAGTCCCGTCCGAGACTCGAACCCACACCTGCCAGGGTGAGGCACCTAATCGCCAGCACACATTAGTTACATTTGAATCTAGTTACTAGAATCTGTACTTTACTAAGAAAGTGTTATCCCAAATATAACATTAGTTACATTTGACCACTTTCTAAATGGCATTGTGTATTCATCTTGCATATAGTCACTGTCGGATATCTTGAATGTGAAAATAGATAGAAAATTGTATTGAGAGCTGCGGCTGTATTGAGAGCTGTTGTCAGTGTGTTCAGATTGGTATCCCGTCGACGCTGGGAACTAACTAGTATATACATAAGACGCAAGTCAGATAGTAGAAGGCCCCTTCTCTCTCTATTTCTCCCTCTCTCTCTCTCACCCCCTCTCTGTCTCCCTCTCTCTCTCTCTCTCTCTCTCTCTCTCTCTCTCTCACACACTCTTGTTGCAAGAAAACTCACCTCTCTGACAGGTTTGCCCATTCCCACCAAACCAGCCTCGATCACATGCCCCGTTACAGACTCCAGTTGTCTGGTTACAGGGCGGAGTGCAGTGGCATGAGTAGCTACAGGTGTCTCCGAACTTTCCTTCTTGGCAGGTAGTGCCTGCATTATGTACAACAAGCTCAGATCAGGTGAATATTCAAATTCAATTTCAAATGTTTATTGTATAAAAGGCTATTGACCGACATAAACGAAGTGCTTATTATTAGGTATAATATGTTCACGATTCTTTTAAGTTTGTTAATCTTCTGCTCAATAGCAGATACCCAACAGATTTTAATTCTTGATAATTTGTGGTTGCCATAAGGCGAATCAATCGTTAGACTGATTGTCGTATTAATATTTATTTGGTATGTATTGCTTTCGGGGGCTTTTTAAGGATGGACTTAAGAGAAAGCATTATACTTCTCTTCGACATGTATCACGACTTTCATAAAAACTCATCAATAAAAAGTAACAATAAATTTGGCTTAATACATCCTGCTTCAGTCCAGGGACAGGTCAATCAACCACTCATACAACCACCGCTATATCGTAATATACACCTGGAACTTAATTAAGCGCCACCAACCTAAATATGACACAGAATTATGAATGCCGAAAATAAGCAAACAATATGGCCCTTTCCCCACACCATCCCACTGACAATGCCACGAACAACGCGATTGCTGTTGCATGCACTGCACGTGAAGCACAATACCCTTGAATTTTCTGAAATCAAGTATGGGTTTTTACCTTTGCACACCTTGAAAGGTACACATTTCTTGACAAAGGCTGTCTGATCGTTGTAAAACACCATCATGCCACGACGTAGACTGTCAGAAGCATTGAGATGGCAGGTTATTGGAATGAATAATGCAGGATTGTCTTTTAGGGAAATTGGACGGCAACTTGGACGTCACCATTCCGTAATTGCAAGATACAGTGCAACAAATGAAGTTAAGAATAGACCAAGGGCAAGGCAAGCATCGAAAGACATCTAGGCGGGAAGATGCAGCGTTATTACGGCTTGTTAGGCAACGTCCGTTTGACAACGCTACAGTTTTAAGAGCAATTTCAACCAGAACCGTCCGAAATCGTTTAAAGGCAGCGGGGTATAGAGCAATCAAACGTCCACTGTTAACACAGGAACACAGACGAGCTCGTTTGGCGTGGTCAACTCAACGTCAGAACTGGAACATTCAATCATGGAGGAGAGTTCATTTTTCTGATGAAAGCCGGTTCCTTTTGCACATGGTGAACCGGCGTACACGTGTCTGGAGGCAGCCGAATACAGCCATGATCGAACGCAACGTCCTTAAAACCATTCCTTTTGGTGGTGGGTCTGTAATTGTGTGGGGTTGTGTATCTTTCTCATGTAAACTGGACTTGATCAGTGTGCATGGCACTCCTTACGGACCTCGATATCAGCATGACATCTTGGAGACGGCAGCCATTCCCCATTTTGATAACCATCCATTGGCCACAAGACCGATATTCCTGGATGACAACGCCCGACCTCACAGATCACGTGCTGTCCGCGAATGACATTTTAGGCCGACAAGTTCTAGAAAGAGACCCACCTGTCCAAAATTTACGTGAACTCGATGCTGCTTTGCATGAGGAGTGGGCAAGAATACCTCAACGTCAAGTTCAACGTTTGATTCAGGGAATGAGGAAGCGTTTGGCTGACGTCACTCGTGCACAAGGAGGATACACCAAATATTGACATAAACTGTGTTTTGGGCTTCTTTAGACATTGTTCCAGAATTGCACTGATTCAAATTTGATGCAACTATTTCAGTAACAGCTGTGTGACAAAAGTAATTTTCACTTTGTTTTTGGTGCAAATTACGTATTTTTTCTAAAATGTCACCATTTGAAAATAAAATTGATCAGTATGCTTCAAACTCATGTTTTCTCTGTGATGCAACACTAGACACACGTATGTAAAAGGAATTTTTCAGTAGGTTGCATCAAGGTTGACTCATTGATATAAATATGAGTGGCGCTTAATTAAGTTCCAGGTGTATACATAGACTTAATCATAATCAAAATTAAAAGGTAGACCATATTTTTGGAGAACATGAGTAAGTTGTTTTCTGTGTACAAAATCAAATACATCTTTGAAAAAAGACGTAGTGAACTTTAAGTTTTTAAAAATATTTTTGTGTACCAGCAGTCAGTGTGAACAAGTTATCAATTGATGTATGTCCGGGTGTAAAAACCTGCTTGTCTGTTACATATTTTGTTATTATTTTTGGACGAAGATTTTAATCTTCAGTTAATGACTGTTGCAAAAATCTTTCCGAAAACACTAATTAATCTTGTGTCCCTGTAGTTAATACGGCATTATCTTTTGCCATTCAAAAACTTGAATTACCATCACACTGTTACTTCAAAACGCGTGGAAACTGGCCTGTTGAACAAGTGCCAACGAATAAAGTACTTATTTAACATGTTGATGTGAACACTTCCAGTACTTAAACCTGATGATTTACCCTTCTGTGATGATAGTATACCACTTAGTATCTCTTGTTATGTAATTGTGGACTCCAGTTCACAATGAGGTGCAGCTTTATCCATAGCATCATAAACTTCATTCAAACAAATCTTGAAGGTATACGTACCAAATGTTTGGGCTAATATGTACAACACATGTGTGTGAATTTAACTTGCTTCCAAAATAATTGACTGTTATCCAGTGATCTCTCAAAGTTATGTAGCGGCTTTTTCTTCAGGGAAGTACACGCATATCTAGTTATTGTATATCTATTGCGAAAATGATTAAAGAAGCTGAACTATACACATTCTGTACCTTTATTGTGCTCGCCGGGCCCACTGTTTACTATTATGTTATTCTATATTATACGATTATCCCGTTAAACATCTCTGAGAAGAGGTAGCATTCAGCTTGTAACAAAGCTTGGCCGTACTTCTGCACAAGTATCAAATTGCACATATCATGTGAGAATTCAAAGTATTACAGAACTCCTAACATCGACACTCGTCCCTCGTATTAACCTGGATGCCATTGTTACAAAGCGATCTAAGAGCTAAGGTGATCGTAACTCCCATACCTTAACACAGACTCACGACAGTCGTAGCGCTGAGGTTGTTTTGATCAACGACTTCCAGGACATTAATTAATTAAGACATTTTTTTTGACACGTATGTCTGACAACATAATGTCACTCGCGTCCAGTATGAAATATAAGAGAAAAGAAATGCCATCTAGAAGATGAGGCTCTTGACTAACCAAAACACAGATATGATAGCAAGTGATGTACAGAAATGTGACGTAGGAAGGTTTTAGACGTCAATCTATCGTCATTCAACCTTGTATAAACATTAATTATCCACATATATGAAACCTGCCTACTTCACTTTTTTGTACATCACTTGCTTGATAAAGGTGTTAATATCTACACCAAAACAAAATGAAACGATATAGCTGCATTTCCATAAAAAAAACCCCTTGTTCACATAGAGAGGTGTCCTCAATCTTATTGAAAAGTGGTTTAATATAGGATATTAAAAGACTGAAGTTACACAATTCAGGATGTATTATATATCATTAATTGCCAAATTGACATCCTCTTTGATACTATAAGGAATTTATGATTTTTTCCATCGCCTGTATTAATTCAAGATAATTTGTAATATCAGCATCACGAGATTTGTACCTTGGCGCACAAGCTTGCCTTTAAGCCTGCTCAATCTTTAAGTACTCCTTGTTGATGTTTCGAACTACACACAATAGGCATGTGCGCGTGGTCCGATGCTGTACGAGACTATACTTTAAAGTAGACTATGTTGGAAAATATTTCACATGACACTAGAAACCAGTCCACAAAACGTGTACCCGAGTGTGCCACGAAGGTGTTATTACTTGGAATACCAGATATGTTTCTTCCATTTATTGTATGCATGTTTAAACATTTTGCAAAGCTCAATCAGTGAGTATTCATAACTGTTCATTAATATTATCACATGTAGATCGATCAAGATTAAAAAAATCAAGCGTATGTTGTTCAGGTAAAGGGAGATAATTGGAACTATCATCTAGAATGAAGTCATCTAAAGTTCTGATACGAGCATTGAAGTCTCCACTCAAAATACATTTGTACCAATTACCAAAGTCATGGTAAAATATAATGGCTTCTGCTTAAGCATATTTATACAATTTTCATCTGAGGTGGTGTATATTGGGGATCTTTCTGGATGTATGTAGACAAATCCCATAAAAGTTAAATGCTCTCTCACGTTACCCCCTGACAACTTTCCAGACTCTTTGGTCACACACACATAGCACCCATATGTATTGTATTGTATTAATAATGTAATTGTTAAGACACCAGGTTTTGGTCAAACAAAATATACTAATTTGTAAACAGAAAGTAGCACAGGCAACAAATGATGGTGGTCAGTTTACATTCCATGTACTGTACATATGCTAGTCATTGCATCACTTTGATACGAACTTTGTGTAGAGTCTGTAGCTACTTGAGATGTGTCCAAGTAATTGGAACCATGGACACTTTCCTATCCAGAGCCCGCTTTTCCATTCTCTGTCGTTCGCTTCTCATGTTGTCCGATTTTCACATTGTCATCCTCGTCTTCTTCATTGGCGAAGATCGACCCATCAATAATATTATCATATTTCAAAGATACAACCCTGCCTTCTTCTCCTGCCTTCTTCGTGTAAACAGCATTATCAAGATTCAGCATTCTTCTCAATACTTGGTTTGCTGCATGCAATACAGAATAGTAATCTCTAAATAGAGAAAATGTCACAATAAGTAGACAGTAGTCAGATGTGGGCGAGAATCTGTGTGCCCTCTATATTTAAATATTTTCAGACGAATGAAGTGTCAGTGCTCCTTGTGTGAACTGGATGAGGTCCTCCTCAGTTTTCCAAATACATTTAGATTGTTATTCGATGTTGTCCATCTTCACATGGCGATGGAGTTTAGATTTCAAAATCAAGTTCTCGTTAGTAAGTTGCAAAGGTTTATCGTTGAAGCTCGATGTTATCAACTCGAGATTCTGGTCATTGATACCATTGAGCGTTTTAGCGAGGTCGCCTAATGTTACTTGCTCTTTGGGTGTTTCACATACTA